TGTTCAGCCATTTAACGAGTCGTTTGGATGCCACTTTTCGAGCCTGTCTATCCGCTGTCAAGAGCATGCCAACTGTCGCTGCTCTTTATCGCCACTACTTGACCTCAAGGACCTGTTAAGTGTGCTCCCTCTCAAACCCTGTCGACCTCTAGCTCTCCCTGAACCACTAGTTAAACTTTTTATCCGTCTTCCCTCTCTCCTTTTTTTCTTCTTCTGCCATCTAACAGCCGACGTTTGCAACAGGTTGGTTGGTAGCCAGCCTTACTAGACGACCTGACTCAGCCCTCCCTGCTTATGCTTATCAGACCTCGACCAGCCTGATATTGTTCGAGACAATTGGATGGGTCCCATCTGCCCGTCTGCCTGCTAGAGGACAGTTCCAGACTGTTCGATTTGCTCCTACCTGTCAATCTGTATCTAGCATCCCTCTAGCTGCACAACAGAGGGCTGCCCGCCAGTCTTGCTGCGTGGTGTTTTCGTTTCTGTCTTTTGAAGCTTTCTCTTTGTGCTCGCCCGCGGCGATGTTCACTGACGCAGCTCAGCCGTGGGCTTTGTCGGCAGCGGCAGCACGGTCGTCCCAGCTCTCTAGGGCACGGCCGATGGCATCCCGTTTCCCAAACTGCGCTCGCCGGCGGCGGCCGCGCTCACGGAGCCTCGGGGGACCCCGGCTGCCGTCTTGCGCCGCCTCCGGAGCCGCCCTTAGTCAAGACTCGAGGCTCGTATGTCGCATTTCCGAATCGGCCTGAGCCGGGTCCCCTGGCACTGCAAACTCCGGCGCTGCCGGTTCCGAGACACTGTGCCATTATCGACGCTGGGAGCGGGGTAACTTAGCCGGGAGCGAGCGGCGACCCGCGCGCGCTCCAAGGCGTTCTCCGAGCTGACCTTTCCCGTCGGGGATTAATTGCGCCGAGTTGTGCCGACTGCACTGCCGGCAGCGGTATGAATTTTTAACTGCAGCCGGAGTCAGTACAGGAAAGGCTGAGGTGAGGTGTTTGGGCGTTAATTTTACATGATCGAGATTGGGTTCTGGTCAGATGGGCTCCGCTCTGGCCGTGATGAGGCTCCCTGAGCGCGCTGGTGCGGCGCCTCAGAGATGGATCGATGTGTTTTGCTGTTGGCTCGGATCGGCGCGGCTCGGCACGCGGTGTGGTGCCGCGATCCGATGGCGGTCGAATGGTAACAATGTCACGGGGATCGGATACCCATCGGCCGGAACGGGCCGGCGACAGTGAGCAACGACAGGAGGGCGCGGTGGAGATGGCGCAGGAGACGACGGATTGCGACGGAGAAACCCACAACGGCAGCGACGATGGCAGCATTGCATGAAAATTGCGGCAGAACCTCCCGTAGCGATGAGAGTGGACGCATCGATGTCGCCGACTAGCCCGTGTTTTGCTCTGCACCGTTGTCGCGAAAGTGTCAGTTGATGCCGTGACGTCAGCGCGGCGTCGGGCCGACAGCGGATCATCGGTCCCCGATTCGGACAGGACGCGATCGAAGTCCTGTTCGGTTACCATCGACACGCTCGTCACGCACCGGGCTCTGGCATTCCTCTGAATCAGGACCCGCGCCACCCTCCCGGCGGGTCAGATACGGTCGAGACTTGACCTGGCAGACTTTGACCGGCCCAGTCTGGTCCAGGACAATCCGGGCTAGCCCAGTTTGGTCCTAGTCAAGTATGGACTAGCTCAACTGACCTTTGCTGATCTGGACCAGATCAGGTTGTCTGGTCCAGCATGAGAGATCAAAATAAACCTATCTTGTACTTGAACTTGTCCAATGCTGATGCTTATCCACATGACGCCATTTACAAATGGTCGATGGTTGCTCAGTTGTCACGCCTGGACAAGAGAACCCCCTTTTATGGTATGCACCAGCGGGTGGCGCAGATTGCAGAACCGCTGAGCGCTGGCAGTCACGGTTTGTTTTGATTGACTCTGTGGTGAATCACCTGACTGATTCGGCATGTCTAGCCGGGAGGTTGGCGCCGGCTCGCTGGTTCCAGGGACAAACACGGAACGTGAACTAGACTGAGCTAGACACACATAGGACGGGGCTGCTGCCGCCTGCTTGTAGTCTGATATTGAAGTTTTCGGACTGGCCCATTCAGATAGCGGTGGTCTCTGAATTCTGATTCATAAGTAGGTACCCCGAACCTGGACTGCATAACCAGAACAGGCTGCACTAGACATTCAACTGGACTGGTATCTCAATTAACGGTTCAGCAATGTGCCGCTAGGTGGCGTACTGGTGGAGGTGCTCATGAATTCCATTGAAGGGATGGATAGGCTAGCTTTTCGCTGTGATTTGTAATGGATTGGATAAGCGTGGTTTTCGGAACGAGCGCTTGTGGTTTGTTTGTTGAGTCCACTGTGCATTAGTGTGGCACTAAGTGATGCTGCTATCTGTGGATTGATAGTCCGCTTCAATTAGTGCTCTGATGAACATGTCATATCCCTTCCATCATTACACCTTTTAAAATCTTGACGCCTGTCAATACAACTGAACTGAAGGTATGTTCAAAATATATTAATTGCAGTTCTGGAGGGCATTGGCTAGCTTTTTTCCGACCGGCGACCACGAGCGAACCCTTCTCCGTCTTTGCTGCTGCTCATTCTCATATGCGATATATTCAGCCCATGTCCCCTTACGTATCCGTGAATGCATGTAAGGGCCAGCTGCCGATCATTACGCATTGGTTTCAATTCCTGGATCTACCTAACCTATCATCGAGCGTGAACCTATACCAATCGTCCATTTGTTGTGCTGATTCCACTGAAGTTGTCCACCTGTCCGTGCGGCCACTTCAGTGCCACTTCAGGGCGAGTGCCGGCCACTTGAACTTCTTCCGAGCAGTCTGTCCGGCCTGAAGAGGTGGTGCTGAGTGGAACGGAAACCAGAACGGTAGCCGACGTCTCTAACCATGTCCTGATAATGACTCTCCCAAGCCCAACCCACCCATCAACGTGCGTGAGGTTTATCATTGATAAGTATAGCCGTGAACACACCAGCGACTCGCTAGCCTGTTCACTTATACCCATCCCTATTCCCTATGCCCACAGTCCACACCCAGTCCGCATTCCCAGGAAGTAAGCGGCCGGGAATTCCGCGGCGACTCCCACCCGTCCGCATTGGGAACCGTTCGCGTTGGGTTCCCGTGGTTCCGTTCGGTTCACCTGGCTCGGAACCGGCGTCGTCGTCTGGGACGTTGCTCGCCTGACGCTGTGACTGTCGGGACCGTTGAACTGAGTGTTCCTCTGTGAGAGCCTGTTCTGCTAGCATTCTGTCGCCACTGCATGGCTGTCGTCTCTGGTCGGCTTGCTAGCTCTGTTGGTTGGGTGGCTCTACATCCCGGATAGATCGGCAGGGAAGCTGGCTGCCAGTGGTGAAGCCAACTCGCGGTAGAATGTTCGTCTTACTAAGGAAAATCGAATCAGGGAACTATCGACTGCTGCCTGTTGCCAGTTCGGATATGGTTATATTTACCTTTTCCTCGACTCTCAGATGTCAGAAAGTGGGTCCTTAGAAAAACAATAGACTTTTTTTCCAAAATTTACCTAACCAATAATGTATTAAATAAGAAACATTTGTTTTAAGACCGCAGCATCAATCAAATTAACTGATTTTCATTAAAACTCAAGGAGCGAAATATATATTAATCTGATGTGACGTCATTTGGGTATTGATGACGTCACTAAGTAACCAGTGACATCACTGTGCCGCTCTCCCGGGTGTGCTCCCTCGGCCGGCTCCGTCAGGCGTCGGTCGAAGGCGAGGTCTGAATGGGAGTGGCAGCATCATTTGCATCTATGATATGTGCCCGCCGGGGCGTGTGCTGATCAAAATGGCCGAACAGGTGGCAGTGATGACGTCAGAAGAGCCTGCAGATCCGCTTGGCACCACGCTGAGATGGGAATGCCGTGGGACGATGCGTGGCAATGGCGTGAAGTGGTAACTGTGTTTGTATTTGAAAAATTCAATATGCTAATGCTATAAGAATCTTAAATGCAGCCTGAGCTAATGCCCATGTCTGCTGCGTTTTTTTTTTCTTTTACCTTATTAGCTTTGCCAACTGTTTCTTGCGTGTCACGTGCCTGACAATCGAGTGCCGTGGTGCAGCGAGGCGACGTTCGAGGAACGCTCTCCCGCCCAGCGTTGTCCATCATTCAGGCTATGTGACGCTCGGGCTCTGACCCTCGATAGTCCTGCTGCTGCTCGGCGGCTATGGAGAGTTGACAGGGTGCTTTAGAGTGCGCCGGACCACCCTCAGCGCTGTCTGCGGGATTGGGTCACCCCGGACCCTTCAGACGGCCCTCAGGCGACCGCCGCCCGTCGAGCCGCCCTCCCTCTCCCCGTCGAGCAGCCCTCCCTCCCCCTTCACCTCCCCTGTCGGCGGCCCGTCCGGAATCCAGGTCATTCCTTTCGTCCCCGTATGGTCTGAAGTGGATGGTTTGGCGACTCCAAGGCCGACCTCCGGGCCCGGGTCGCCGCGCCCCGCCCTGACAGAAGGACCAAGGTGAACCCCACACTCGGCGGCCCGGTTAGATGATATGCCCGGCCCGTCGGTTAGGAACTGAGCCACATGCTCAAAGGAAGCCAATCAAATTTGAACGGGGCATGTAATTAATTCCCGGCCGAGTCTATTGTGCGCTGGCTGTATTGATTGGGAGGACGGAGCCGTCTGTGAGAGCTGGGGCTGATTCGAGCCCGCTACCTGCAGGCACGACGGTCTATTTGACACTGCTGGACGGAGCTGCTGCAGTCATTAATCGTTCTGTGCTGGTGGTCGATGGAGCGCTCGACTTCCGCTCAATCTGTGCTCGAACTGCGCTTGAAATTCGCTCGATCTGCGCTGGAACTGCGCTTAAAACCTGCTCGAAGCTCTCATGAAAGTCCGCTTGATCCATGCTCGGTGCTGCGCTCAGCCTCCCTCGAACTGCGCTCGATCCGCGCTTGAATTGCGCTCAACCTGCACTCACCCGACCCGGCCACCGTCGCAGCCTCTCGTCTGGGCTGAGGGCGGCAGTCGGCGCGACCGATCGAACTCGTCCGAGAGCTCATTTATCCGGCTAATGAGCGCCGCTCCAATCTCGGAAAGGAGTGGCACCGGCCGGCCGATCATACCTGCTATTGGCCCGACGCTCACCTGTTGAGCCCGGCCAATCGATGCTGGTCGCCGCCGCCGCCGCCGCTAGCGGGCGCACCGTCGCGCCGCCGCATAGACTCGCCGAGCGAGCGCCGCCGGCGCCGGCAGCGGCGGAGCGCCGGCCAGGCGTCATTCCCTCTGCTCTGCTGGCGGTGTGTGGTCGCTCGGCTCTCTGTCTCTGTGTCCGGCGCCCCTCGGCCGCTCTCGCTCTTCTGCAGCGCTGCTGTGTCGTCTCTGTCTCACCGTCTACCTTCTCTGTCATCCTGGAGGCGTCCTGCGTCGAAATGGTGAGTGGTTGAGGTGTTTCTCCGACACCATACGGTGTGTTTGGCTCGGTCGTGAGCCGCCCGGCCCGGCCTGGTCACGGTGAGTGGGCGAGCCCGGGCCGAGACGGTGACATCACCCTGCTGGTGGTGACTGTCTCTCTCGTGGAACGAACGACCGGCCGTCGGGTCTGCGGGCTGCGGGCTGCGGCCGGCCCAAACCGGGCGCTGTAAACTGACTGGGCGAGCCGGCCGGCTGCGGCGGGCTGGGGCACGTCGGGCCGACATACGGTGGAGAGACGTGGGTGCTACTTGGCGAGATGGGATGATAGCGGTGGAATGGCAGGATGTGTGAGCGTTACTGGGCTGGGATAGTTTAGCAGTATGGCGGAAATTTGGTTTGGGTGGCGCCATTGATGTAAAGAACCGACATGGCACCATTTCCGGCTGTACCGTTGCAGTCAGCAGTCGGCTTGTGTGTTGGCTGACAAACGCTATTTTGCCCGGTTTTATTCCCGTGGAGTTTTGTAGCTTGTCGGGGCTATTTCCTGTCCATGTATGGAGCCCAGGTGAATCAACAATGATTTGCATTGTTATGTTTCGTGGCTCATGGCAGGCCTGAGCCCAGTATATTAGGTTAAGGTTCCACATGGTGATATACGGTTTCATTTAGTGGTGGGCGAGGCGGGTGCATAGGCTCACCGCATTGGACATGACAAAGAGTTATGGTCCCCGCGCCCCAGGTCCCTCATAGCCGGTCTTTAATCATGATGTTACAGAATCAGGTAACCCCGGGACGTGGGGACCTACAATAACATGAATCACACTTGCAAACCTTGTTCATTTACACTCTTTATCACAGTCGCTACACTGTTTACGTGTCAGGCGTATTCATGCTGGTCGCGTTGGCAGTGTTTTGCAACCGTTGCCAGGCTAGATAAGGCATTCAGCGTACTTCAAAGAGTTCACCGCGTGGTTTTGATGGCTCGCCTAATTCAACTTCTCTTCACGTTGGTAGCGAGAGTCCAAAATTGGGTCCCTTTCTCTTTTTGGGCGCTGTGAATGGCGGAGCGTTCGCCGTCCCTATGGCTGGTGGGACGTCCCCAGACCCCACATTCGGCGGTGGGACGGGACCCGGTGGGACGGCGCGGGCTCCAGCGGTCCGCTCACCTCGGGACCCGGTGGGACGGCGCGGGCTCCAGCGGCCCGCTCACCTCGGGACCCGGTGGGACGGCGCGGGCTCCAGCGGTCCGCTCACCTGACCTCGGGGCCGTGTGAGCGGTCCCGCTCGGCCGGCCGGTCATTACCTGGCGCTCGTTTTTGTCGGACCGTGCGATTATGGCCGGGCCGGCGGCGCTGGAACGGCGTGGGGTGGTGCGCTCGGACGCTCCCAGACGGAGCCGTTTTTGGCCGCTCGGCGCGGAGAGCGCCCGAGCGCGGCTGAGCGCGGTCGACGAGTGTCGGTGTGCCGCACTCAGCCCGCGGCGCACACACCTGGTGTTCCGCTGTGACCGGCACGGCCGTCCGGCCAGCCTCCCGCTCTCCGCGCCCTGCCTACCAGCTGGGCAGGCGGGGGTGCCTCTGCCGGCCGCTCCGCCGCTGCCTTTGTCAGCCCCGCCGACCAGCTGCTGTTACCGGGCTGAGGGGCGCCGAAGGCCGCGCCGCCAACAAAAAGGCCCGGCGCTCTCCCCCGGGCCGGTCGGGCCGGCGCGGGGACGGGACGCGCGCCGTGAGAACCCGCTGCTGCCTGTGTGCCGGGGGAGCGGGGGAGCGGCGCGGGGAAGGATTGGACGCCGCCGGCGTGCGGTGAGGGATATCCGGAGGATTATTGGGCCTGGGGAGCCTACCTGGCTGCCGGCCGGTGGGGAAGGGTGCCGTCCGCCGCCCTCCCCATTGACTGTCCAGGAGCGGGGCTGTCGGACGTTGTTATGGCGGAGCAGACTGCAGCACCGGCCTCAGGCCAACACTGGTGTGCAGCCCTTGTCAGAATCCGACGGAGAATTAGATTTACGGGCAACTCGGGACCGGTTGGTGCTGGCTGGCGCTGAAACTCTGCCCTGAACGGTGCTGGAACTACACTGGAATAGCCAGACGGTGCCGGGCCTTTGGGCTAGGTGGTGCTGCTCTGCGCCGGATGGTGCCGAGAGTGTGCGTCGAGTGCTGCTTAACTCGTAGCGTAGCCACTATTTGCTTCGCTGCCGATCCAGGTCACAGCGTTTGAGTTCGTCGAACACCTCTGTCGGGACTGAGGACACTGGTGGCGGCACTGTCCTCACTGGTGGGCTGGGTGGGCGAATGAACGGCGACTTCCCAGACGAACGGGGCACTGCGAGTTTAATGTACCAGCGCCTCGGACTGTAAATCGACCGTGGAAATCGCCACTGAACTGACCCTCACTGCAAATCTACCAGCTTCTCGGCTGGTAGAAACGAGCTCGTACACTGCATTGCGGCTGCGCTAAATCTACCCGACCGTCGGTAGAGGCTCGGCACCGGGCCAGTAAATCGTGTACCGCCGCCTCTGGTAAACGTACTAGCGCCGCCGCTGCTAGATTAGAGGCCGGCCGGCAATCTTCCGCGGGCCTGGCCGACATTCCGCAGTCTCGGCGGCCCTCGGAGGGCGGACGGAGCCGCCGACCGCCGGCTCTGCCCCCGGGCCACGACAGCGGACCAGTTCGTCAGAGCCGCTCTTCAAATATCAACTCCATGAATGCCAATGTGTTCGAAACAGAGCTAGGAGTGCATCCATAGCTATTCGCCAGTCACGCGGATTGGAATTCTTTGCAGTTCTCCGGAACGGGCGCATTCACGGAATCAGGAATTGCGATCGCATTTTCCTGTCGAGTCGTCGACGTGAATGCTTGTCTTCCTCTGCTGATCTTGATCGCGAAGTTTGTTCGTCACGAACTGTATGAACAGGTGACTGGATGTGGAACGTTGTTTCACAACGTTGAACGTTTGCTTGGAACGAGCGCTTGCCGCATGAAGTGAAGCGGGAGCTGAAATGTTTCCACGACCAACAACTAGCTGTCAAAGATCGTCGAATTTCAAAAAGCCGATCGCTTTCGACATGATGCACCTACACTGAACGTTTCCAACTTGTATACGCGTATTCCTGCCTCCTTCACTGTAGATATATAAACGTGGCACATGAGGATTCCTAGTCATACCGGTTCTGCGGCCGAGGTGTTATCCCTATTTCTTAGTAGGTATATGAGAATTTCGCAACTTAATAACATAGGTGACTGAAAGACGCGAAACATTGTGACATTGTCGGCACATCACGATATGTCTACCAAGGTCTTATCGGTATGGAAACCCTAGAAAGTGGCGGCGCGGTTTTGTCGACAAGGGAGCCGCGGGCGGTCGCCGACAGGCCCACGGTCTGGCTGGCTGCGCTGCTGCCCGCGGTCTGTCCTTGAAGGGCAGACCGTGCCTGAGGCGACCATCCTCACCGCGCGCCCGCCGGTGGGAAGCCGGGGATGGCCCGTGTCCGTTCGGCACTCCGTGGTGGGTCATGGGAGTTGGTTCGTAGTTCGCACCACGCAGCAGCTTAGAAGGGTCACAGTGTGGAACGCGAAGGTACTCTTACAGTTCAGAATAGCACTCGCACAGTTCCATACAGCTAAGTACCACAATCCACATCACCCTGGACCCCACTCTTCACTTGCACAAGTACCCACCGCACCACTGCACCAACTCACTGCACACTGCACGGTAGGTATACATCATACAATAATCATGCATACACACGCGTCTACCGCCCACACACTATCCACTCAGTCCGGCGGAACCATGACCGGGCCATGGTCACTGGTCCGTCTACGAACCGTTGTCGGTGCTACCCCGGTAACGGGACATGCTGCCCGCTCAGCTGGCTCCGCCAACCGCTCGCACCTGAGCACCTCGCTAAAATGCGTCGTACACAGTTGCGACGAGGTTTCCGAGGAACAACACGCGATCTGACCATGTTTGCTCGAAACTTTGGGACGCCACAGGTGTTTTGTTTTTATTGTTCGAGTTTAGCCGCCGCTGCTGGTTGTGTAGCGAGTTTGGGTGGATTTTTCAAGCAGACTGTTTACTGCGCGGTAGCTTGTGGCTCCTGGGAAAGTTTTGTTTTCGGGAGCTGGGCCGGACCATTGAAGGCGCTGCGGACGTGGAGGGCCAAGGAGAAAAGCATCGCGCTGTATTAGGATCAGAGTTGCACGGGACGCTCGATCGTCCGCGCTTGCCCGTCAGCCGTGCTGCTGTTGGAAGGAGAGGCAGTGTCGGCCAGAACCAACCTCGAGGCGATGGCTGCGAATCGAGTCTGTCGTGGTTTGTTGAGCTCGGTGATAGATGTGTCCGAAATGGACCGAGTCGCGCTGTAGTTGTCGTAATTCGTCATCCGCGGGATGGTTGCCGGTCCGTGAAGGGGCCGTGGGACCGTCGTCGCGCCGGCCGGTCCGTTCGCGACCACGTGGTGTTGGCCGCGCCGGCCGGCGCAGTGGTCTGGACGGGCAGCGGACCGGACCGAACCGAGCCGGTGCCGGTCCACTGAGCTGCCGCCCGGACCGGCCGGTCCGCCACCAGCGCCCCCGCGGCCGGCGCCACCGCACGGGGCGCATTCCTGGATCGCGAGGCCGGCAAAAACAAGGGTCCGGCCGCTCGCTGGCCTACCTCACATCCGACAGCGGTGCGTCAGCCTCGTGACTTACCTGTGATGGAAACACGTTCAAGGATGTGGAGTGATTCTAGTTCTTCTCAAGGAGCGCCTAGTCTTTTCAATCTTATCGAAGAATGCGCTGAGGCATGTCACTCCAGCATGGGATTCATCAGCCGCCGCAGCTTTGTCATTTTCGGCAGGTGATTCGTTATCTACCCGATCGCTGGCCCATTCGATACTGTCAGAGGAATGTCCTGCAGCGTTCTTTGTGCTGGCCATGGGGTGCCGGCCGGTCGTCCGGTGGCTGCATTAGTATGCACCCCCGTGGCTGGCTCCGGTCCGGTTGGGCCGGTACCCGACCCAAGCCCCGGTCGCCCAGAGGTGGGAGACAGCCGGTGGTCGTTCAGCTGCAGAGCCGGCCTGTGCGCTGGGTCTGCGGTGTGTCAGCGTCCAGGCTGGCAGTGCTTAGCTTTCAAGACCAGATGTAGTCAGTCCACTTCAGGAGTATCGGGTTCGGGTTATATAATGGATATGCCTGATGTGGAGAGGCTCAGTAGAACCGCGGCCGGTGTAGGATGCATGAATAGTGCTTAGTGCTCAAGGTTTAATAACATTTTATTCGGAATGATGTTTGTGTGGGCTGCGTGTGGAGGTGGCTAGCAACTGCCAACTATGCCGACTATTTAGATGAGTGTCTGCGTATTCAGCGAACTGCAATTGACAGCTGTGCCTGTTTGGTGTAGGTCAGTTGGCCTGGCTGTGTGCATCTCATTTGTAATGACAATCGTCCGCTAGAATGGCCTGCAAAGCTGCGGCGTATTCAGATATGCATCAAATGACATGTCAGTAGTTCTACATTGTCGATGGGTAGACTCGCTGTCATGTTAACGCACTGTGCATACACGACCTTGCAGGGGGGTATTTCATTAGGCCGATTTTATCTTGCATTTTGTATTGTCGGTTGCAATGGTTTTGACATGTTTCAAGATTTGCTCATTATGAAGTACCGAGTTACATAAACGTGCTCCAGAAGCATGGCCGATCATCCCCGGTTTGTCTCTGATTTCGTATTCGCTGCCGAAGGAAGCCATGAACTCCGTATCGATTTCATCTCTAGTCCCTCGAGCAGCATACTACAAACGCAGCTGTCCGCCACATTACATAAGCCCGGATATCTCGGGTATCAGCCGTAATGACTGCCTCATCTCACAAATAGCTGATGGGAAGCCTGTTCTGTGGACCACTGCTTTTGGCATCAGTGGGCTTAGACCTTCTGCTAAAATCTTGCTGGCAACCATGTGGTCCGCCTGGCGACCCTTTGCAGTGGTGAAGCGGATGGAATGCCGTCCCATTACCGTCCTGCCGCGGTCTCCAGGCTACCTGCTAGCTCCAGATGGCGCTGAAGGTGCCGCTGGTGTTTTGAAGAGGGGAAGAGGTGCGGATTGGAGGTCTACGAGGCACGGGTTCTGGGGATGGATGGGACGCACGGCTACCGGGAGAGCCCGGCCGGAGGGTGCACCGTTCCACGAGGGGTCTGAGATGAATGGAATACCGCGGAATGTCAGGGCCGCGAGAAGAAGAATCTGAGGTAGCGTCCACTCTCCAAGATGTCTTGGGCTAGACGCGTGGTTGTGTTGAGCGTGGGTCGTCTGGAATAGGTGTAGTGCGAAGATACTTTAGCTGACGGCGTGTGAAAGCTGGAGATGTTTGCGTTCAACATGTATGGCTAGAATTCCTTGCATTGGCACACGATAGAAGGTTCAGAAGTGAGACACTGATTCACTGCCGCAATGTTGTGCAGGAATCACCTGAGGGAAGCGTGGGACTCGAACGGGCCTCGCCGACACGGAGCGTACCGTTACCGTTATGACTAACGCCGGATGCGGTCGCCGCGACCAGCGCGGAGTTGCAGGTATTGGGGACGGACAGGTGTGCATCAAACGGCGCATGTGACGTGATGTGACGCAGCGGCGGTGGCCCACGTGGCGCGTCACCACCGTGACGTGACGCCGCCGTGACGGGACACCGGCCTCGTCACGGTCCGTGGCGCCCGGCTGTCGGTTTTGGATAGCACGGTGGGAAGGGGGCTGGCTCTGGGGGCTCTTCAACTACGCTGCTGAGAGCGGGCCGGGACTTTTCTAAGTGACGTAGGTCCCTCGCTCGGCTATTACGGCATTGCTTACCAAAAGGGAAAAGCTCAGTGTCTTCGTTTGAATACATCCATTGAAAGCTCCTACTAAAACGGATTCGCCCCTTCCTCCCTTCCTCCTTCCTTCGCAATCTTTTCCCTCGGGCACGTCCACCGGAAGCTCCTGCTCCAGTCGGCCCTCCCCGATAGGCGTCTCCGAGCGCCTTTGTCCCTCCCTCTGCAGGACGGGCGGCTGTCCAGTGACCACCTGGCTATCTGATCCGCAACGAGTGCTTGTCCTCCGCTCACCACCTGCCCATCTTGGAGACGGGGACGTAGGTGGATGCGGGGGCTTGAACGGTGATGGTGTGACTGGGTTAGACCCCTGGCAGCCAAGGCGTGCATGGGTATAAGTACACCTAGGTGACTTATACCCATGCATGTTTGTCGTCTCGAGTTGCGTTCTCAGTTTCTGGCCTTGCGACTCACTTTCGGGTTTGTCACCTCACCTGGCTTGCGATGCTATGCGGTTGCGCTCCGTGCTGAGCCGTGCTAAGCCGAGCCGTGCCGTTCCGTGATGAGCCGTGCCGTGCCAAGCCGTGTGGTCGTCCGGTGGCCAGCTGTCGTGCACCGTGACATCTGTCGTGACATGCCGGACCAGCTGTGCGACTGCTGGCCGTCACTCGTCATCCGCCCCGGACTGAGGGTTGTGTCACACCTCCTTGCATGGGACTCATGAATCCCCTCACAGCTGGCGCCAGGGTCCATCCTTTGTCAGAGGACTGAGTCACTTCACTCCTACGTCATGTTTGCGATTGGACGCTAGTGTGAGGTCCATCTGGTGGTCCCCGCCCCTACCACAATGTGCAGGTTAAATATTTTTTATCGTGCTATGTGTCACATTTGCAAGCTCTTCAACATCGTATTTTGTGGCAGCCCTGATCTGAAGTTTGTCTTGTGCTGACTCCCATGCCGTACTCGTGCATTGCAGCCGGTGCACTGTCTGTATGTTTAATTCTAACTGGCCCTGCGCGCTCTGACTCACTGATGCATTGGTTCTTGCTAATGTACTTTGACTTTTTCGCTGTCTCTAACCGAGCATTTTCTGCCTTTTCAGCGTGGTTCGGAGGAGCTGATGACCGCTGCTGCCGTACCGACCAACGGTGCCATGACACTCACGGCGGACAACAACAATGACGCCAAGAAGGTGAGAGAGCTCTCCATTTCCTGGCTCTTCCACCCCGTGAACATATTCCGATTTCCGATACGTTCCGGGATGTCCTGGGATGTCCTTAGATTCCAAAGAATACCCTGCTACGGTCTCAGGATGCTTTTCGCGCTCTACGAAGAGAGGAAAGTGAAAACATGTCAAAAAAACATCTGATCAGGGGCTGAAGTCTCGCTCCTTAGGTTGAGCAATGATCGTACATTCCACTTTCCAATGTCGATACACTGAAAACTTTTTTACCATTTCCTGAAGGGTAAACCCGCCATAGCATGGTAGCTTGACACACAGACGTTTTTTACCACCTTCCAGATGGTAAATTTTACTCTTTCATGAAGAGTAAACTCGCCAGGGAGGGGTAACATGACACACAGACGTTTTTTACCATCTTCTGAATGGTAAACTCTTTTGATTTACTCTTGTCTAGAGTGTAACATTTTTTGGGTTACACTCTTTGAAAGGGTAAATCTTAAACGGAACCCTTTTCTAGGGAGTAACGCATCATCTACTCTGTGCTTTACCCTCCTACAGAGAGCATATTCTTCTGGCCTACCCTTTGTCACATGGTAATGTTTACTCTTTCCTTTAGTGTAAACCCCCCAGAGGATGGTAACAGACTCACAGACGCTTGCTTCAGAAGCTTCACGAAGCTTCTGTTAACCGGAGCTCACCAACTAAAAAACATGCTTCAAGAGCAACAATGTATATTTGGCTTCCGTACAAACAATACGAGGGGCACACCAGCCATGAACATTGTGAGACTCTTCACTTATGCATACGAATTTATACGAAGCGTTCAGCAATGCACAAGCGGTAAATAAACACCACGATACAACTTGAATGCACTTTGAATGTGAATACAAGACATTCAGCGCCCTCATATTGGATAAGGCACAGCGCACAATATTTGAAGAGAGCGACGGCGTTCCTGGGTGGTCGCCCGTCTGCGTGAGATAATGAGACTGGATCACTACAGTGCAAGGCTTTTTCAAAGTCACCAACAAAATGCATAAACTTGTAGCATCACAACAAAATTAATGTACGTACTCACAACCTAGGCCACGTGGCCGTGCACGGGGTCCTGTTAACCAGGTCAAATTAGCACCACTCAACGGCATGCAATGCTCTAGCACATCGGTACTTACAATAAAATGTCCACAGAGGCTCTATAGGCGATGAGCAGCACACAAGCACAATCACCAACGGCCACGCCGCGCGGCACCGACACTGCTCACATCCGCTCTCGGAGACCAACGGCCGAAAACTGACAGATGCGCGCGGCCTTCAAACCGCAAACGGCCGATCTCGTTTCTGATTGGCTGAGTGATTCCATTTCAAATATCATCTTCACGAGGGTAAACAAGATCCACGCATGAAACGACTATCTGTACACGAGTCACGATACCCAGAAGGAAAGAGTTTTCGTGATGTTCTGGATCGCGAGAGTAATATTGATATTTGCATGGTAATAATACTCTTCGCTGGCGAATAAGTTCATATCAACCACGTACCGTTACTATGCACATAATGGTAGCAAAGAGTTACCCTTTCAATATACTCTTATCTTGCTGGTTTGATGAAAATGAACCCTCCAGGAGGTAGTAAAAAAGTTTTGAGTGTAAGCGTGGTCCGAATGGAATGGTGGAAATGGCCCTGAAACCGGAATGCGTAAAGGTCTGGCCTAAAGGGCCTCAGTCGAAATTCCAGCAACCTTTTCCTCGTTAACTCATTCCTTGTCCGTTCTCATGCTTACCTACCTGCCTTCATTTCAGTCTCATTATCCCACCTTAGTTGAGTGAATTCCCCTTTCAACACAACCGAATTCCATCTTTTCACCTGCCTTACCTTCTACCCTTTCCTTCGCTGGGTCCTTCTCCACAGAACCCAACGGTTCGTCCATTCTTCTCGCTCAGCTTGCGTGTCGCACCTGCGTGCCATAGGGTCCAAAATCCAGATAATCTCCGAGATCGAGCACACGAGGCCTTTCGCCAGGCACCACCTACCTTGCGAACGTCCGGCGCGACCAGAACCCGCAGGGTGGCCCGTGTCGCCCGTGTCAGGTCGTGTCACTGATCACTCGGTGTCAGAGTGTGACACAGGGCGGGACTCTGTCCTCGGTGACCGGCGGGGGTCCTGTTGGCGTTGGCGGACTGGTGGACGGCCCTCGTGGAGTGGCTGCGCGACAGAGACTGATACGGTGACGGAGAGCCTGCCGGCAGGGGTCCACTGGTCTGCTGGTTTTGGACTGGGGGTGACAGGGTGACCCGGACGGGACGGTGCATCTCAATGTCAGCTCGTGATATCGCTTGGTAGATGGCAGGTGGTAGGTGGCGCTGTTGTTTACAACTATATATAAAAAGAATTGAACAGTCTATTTCTTGGCGTCGTCTTTAGTGCAATGAGAATGCAAGTGTGTGGAAATTTGAACCTTGCGATAGGTTATTTAGATATATATCCCCTTGATTCTTTAGAAACGGTGCTTCCTAGCTTGTGGTGGAATATGTAGGCACGTAGCGGATCCCTTTTCCAAAAAGGACACTGGTTAAACCCGGACACTGGCATATTTTACCCTTTGCTTAACCCAAATTAACTTTGCATCCATGCCGATAAGTAACCATGGAGCAGAGCAGTGATGCCGTGACTTTCGGCGCACGGCGGACGGTCCTTCGCGCGACGTCACAGCGGCTCTGAGTGACGTCACGCTGCGACACGCTATCCCGGGATCGGATCTCCAATCTGTCGACGGTCGTGACGCACGCCGCGTGCGTCGTTACCGCTCGGTTACCGATGCGGGTCGGTCGCCGACGGCACACCGTAACCACGGCAACCGTCGCCGCCCGTCGTCGGCCGCGTGTCAGTGGCGGAGTGGAGCCTTTGTCGGCGAAATAGGTAGGAATGCGTAGGATCGTCGATGGAAGTGTGATGAATGCTTCAAATATTGGTGTTCACTTAATCGCTTCCAAAGCTTTTTGTGGTAAGGTGCTGTGAAAAAGCGGCAGGTGGCTCGCTGGCTTTGATTTCGCAAATCAGGTGAATAATTATTTCTCTCAAACGTGCTCAAGTCTTGCAAGATCTAGATGGCACATCTATGCATTATTAGTACCTTTTTCAGAACGACTATTTTTGTTTCAGTTAAATGGATCTGAAGATTACCTGGGGTCCATGACTCAGGCCTCGGTTCTTGGTGCTCGGGTAGTTTCGCGACGCCCCCGTGCAGGCACCGACGCCGTCAATTTTCGGAGTTGGCCGGCCGCGACTCTGGTCTGAACTCTGATCGGCTCGGTCTGAGATAATGAGGCTCGGCCGGGCGGCTAACGGCCAATTAACGGACGGCAACGGCCCCAGGTGCGCCGCGGGGCCGGAGACGGTCCGCGACGACCTGTCCCGGGCCGCGGAGCATGTAAGACTGGAGACGGACGGCCGAGGGTCGATATTGAGTTATATGTAGACAATGGAAAAGTCGGGGACCGTGGAAAGAGCATCACTGAACTGCGAACTGCAGACTGGAGATAGCAGACGCCACAAAGGTCAAAGCAGTCATTCACCCATGCTAAGCCTTTTCTTCTTCTTTCACGATGGGATGTCTCGGCGCATCGCGTACCACAAATTGTTTGTGTCGCCCAAGTCCAAGGCTCATTTTCGTTCGTCCTTATTAACCGATGGGCATTGAACTCGCCTGTCGTTTCGACAAGTGTGTGTAATGTGCATCCGATCGTTCGGTGTGTGTTTCCGGTGTATTTTCACCGCAGGGAAGCCGAGACGGTGTGATCCGCTCACTTTGGGAAGCCATTGCGACGAGGCCGAGGCGCCACGATGACTGGTTGCCGGTCAGTGCTAACCGCTGACTGCTGAGTTTGGCTTCTGACTGCTGACTGCTAACCGCTGGCTGCTGACCGCTGACCGTCTTCGCCGTATACCGGCTGCGCTGGTAGCGGTACAAATGGGGGCTTTTAGTGGAACGGAAGTCGGGCCCGGCGCTGTGGACTTATGCTGATGGCGGCCATGAAATGGATGTGCGACACACCTCCGAGGCAGCAATAGCTCGCATCGTTTAACATGCTAATTCGCCCTGATGGGAGCCATGAAGACGGTCTGCATTTAGACCGGCCTCGCACCGGACTCGGGTTTTAGCAGTCACAGGTTTCCGGTTAGTCATGAGTCTGCAAGTCAGTGTTTTGTGCATATTCACCTTCACAATGACTCTTCACCTCGGAAACCTGAGTTCGGGAAGTTGGCTGCAGTTTTCAGGATGTGCTGCTGGCTGAGCGTCCAGTTCGGGTCTGCTGGGGTGGCGTGACCACCTGTCCCGCCGGGCTGTGTCGCTTCCTGGCTGGTGGCGGTAATGGCACCAGGCACAGCGGGGCCGGCGCGCTGTCGGTCGGCCGCACGCGAGAAGAATGGGCGACGTTGTTAAATGTGTGAATTATCATCACAGAATGTGGACTGTGGAGGATGATCGAAATGTTCATCATCCTCGCGATGCGCTAGTTGGTGCGGCTGTTTTTATGCCATCGACGGTCCGACAGAGTTTTATGGTCGTTTTGTTTAAATGACGAACTATCAGGGTCGCCTCATTGTCAGTCTGAGCGAAACTGTCGGATCGCGCGAGATAATGTCAATGCTACTGCTGTCGAATCTGTCCGACCTGTTGGTTTTACCGTACGATTGGAGCCATCAGACTGTCGCGCTGCCGCTTCGCTTTGGCCGACGGCAGGTTGTTTTCTGCCACGGGTCCGCGCCCGCTGAGCTGTCTCGTCGGAAGTGTCCGGGTCTGATTAATAATGCAAGCACGGCAGAGCGAGTTCCCAACTGCGGCTCCGCCCGCGCGAAACACGGCCTCAGAGCCGACGCCAACTTAGTGCCGGAGTTGGACCGAGTTGGAGCCGACCACTCGGATGGCCGGTTTGGTGGCGCTGTGTGGGATTTAGTGCTGTTGCTTCGTCCGGTATGGGTGCCGTGATGTGGGGTGTTTTCCCTCCCAC